AGGGCCTGCTTCATCTCCTGAAGGTGAAACTTTGAAATCTCTTGAAGCCCGGTGACACTATGAGTATCTATAAATATCTTTATATAAATAATTATAAATGACTTTCTTGAAGAGTTGCAAATCTGAAAACAGCAGTGCTCCATTCATATTCATATTGCCATGAAGAGAACGCGTTGGCCCCAAAATGGAAAACATTGATGGAACTTAGACGGCAAGGCACTCTTCCACAACTAGCCCTGGGACTTCATATATTGAAACAAGATGAAACAAACGATTATGACTCACAGACTCGCGCACCATGTCTGCTTCTGCGTACCGTTTTAGACTGCACAGCAAGGCTCTGATCGGGAATTTTCAGCTTCTGCTGCGATCATGCTAGAACCAGCTCCTCTTCTGTCCTTTCAAGGCAGGACCACATCCTGCTAAGCAGAAAAACCCATCTGAAACAGAAGGAATGAATTCCACCATCCACTGGATGCCATCCACCCCACGATAACCTTGAACCCCTCACGCTTCACACGTGGATTTGTTGATCGAATTGCAAAGGAACAGCTACCACAGTGTACATGCAAAGATATATGCGCGCTTTGATGGAGATGGCATAGCACGCATGCCTATCCTACCGGACAGTATGCATGACACCTTTTTGACACAGCATGACACGGCCATTTCAAAACATTTTAAACATCAACAGCCAAAGCATAACTTGGGCACACCGTTCACCCTAGACACCCGTTCTGAGTGCATGGAATGGCTCAATCAACTGCTCCAAAAGAGCGCAGTGGGCGACACTAAGGACAGGAGTACGGCAAAGAGCACACGTCCGGGCCTCCAAGGTTCGGAGGCTCATGGCTAATTCGATGCCCATGACACTTAGGACACTTAGACTGAAAGTTAGATTGACAAAAATTGACAGGCAACTAGAAGACTGCCCATGACGCTCCATGCTCAAAGTTTACGAGGTTACCCCAAATCACCCAGCAACAATGCAGTGCATCTCACAAGATTTTGCCACAAAGCAGCTACACGACGACTGCAGCGACTGTGCAACTCAGCGCAGCTCAGTGCAGCTCAGTGCAGCTCAGCGTGTTTTTTCCCGTCTTCTCGGCCTTTGCAAGTGCGCACTGCCTGCACACTGCCGCACTTTTCCTGTGCCCTGAACTCAAGGTTGGCGCAACACGTCCACCATGGAAGGCCAAGGGCAATGCAACCAACGCAATCAACGCAATCCAAAGGAGTCTCCGGTCTCCTCCAAGGCAAAGCGCAGGTGCTGTTCCAGTACCTCCTTTGATGTGTACTCTGGCAAATCGAGAGTGTTCGCACAAGTGTGGGCGGCTGGAAAGCGGTCTGTGACACCAACTCTTTGGATCGTAAAGAGTTCTGGCTGTAAAAAGCGAAATCCACCAGAAGGGACCTGAGAGCTGCCAGTGGAGAAAGACAGCAACTGAGCTCGCATGTGCTCAGGCATTGCCCGTACCGCCTCCCAGAACCATCTCACGACCTTCGAATCTGCTGAGTAGCCATTCTCATATTCCGTATGCTTCTCCCAATCATCGACATCAATTCCATCTGCGCCACAAAGCATGAGTTCAATCTCCTTCACTGACATTATGCCCGTGATCCGTTGGACCAACTCATGTGGCACTACCCGGAGAAGTCCTCGCTGAAAGTATTGCACTTGGTTGGCCACTCCGCTGATCAAAATGCGATCTAAAAGCAACTGTACAAACTTTTCCTTGTTCTCCTCTGTAACTTCCATGCTGTCACCTCCCTCCAGTAAGGGTGTACTACGGACCAGTTCTTGGCAATGAGACTCGGAAACCACAAAGGTTTTTGGTAGATGGCACTGTTCCAGAACATCTTGCAACGTGTCACCCAATTCTGCATAAGCTCCGCTTAAAATGTACGTCAGCTTGGTGTGCAGCGTCTTGTCAACGTGTTCAAGCAGTGGAAGCAAATCAGCTGTGTCAGTCTTGAGGCCAAAGACTGACCGCAAAAAGTTGTGCCCAAAATGGACGGGTACCGTTTCTTTGTTCAGGAGGGCGAAACCTATGACACATCCGAACAACTCAAACTGTTCAGTCCAGTCCTCCTGGACACACTGGCACACAGGCTCTGGGGATGGGACGATAATGCCTCGCGAAGCACGTCCTCCTTGTCCTCCTTGTCCTTGTCCTCCCTGCGATTTGAACTCCAAGTGTGCTGCATCTTCTGCAGGTGACATGAACAGGTCTGAGGAAATGAAATAACGACAGGCCCGGTCAAGCCACTGCCTTCTCGGCCCTCCTTGGTCCTCTCCCTCATCCACCAGTTCATTGCCGGTGTCATCTGAATAACCTGCACGAAACTCAATCTCCAAAGGAACATCGATCCGCGCCTGTGCATCCTGCAGGTTCAGAGTCGAACACACACCATCCAACACGTTGTCCCGCGGTACAACAATTCGAATTGGATCACCGGAGCCTTGGGTCAGCCTCACACGATCACACTGCGCATGGAGCATTGCCCGCTTGGTGGTAAAATCAAGCAGGCACGGATAGAATGACACTTCCTCCAAAAGCTCAAGTGCGAACGAAGTTGCACACTCTTGAAGGACCGAATTCATCACCACCTTGAAGTCTGCCAGTTCTGGTGGCACTGTCTTCTGCCTGAGCTGGTCGACAAAACCCGCCATGAACCGGGGAATCATCGGCGACAAGCACTCCAGCCGATAGCGCTGTTCCTCAAGGGGCATGTCCACCATTGCACGGAAAACATCCATCAAAGTGGAAGCTTTGACGGGTGGCCCATCATGATCATCATCGGCCAATCTTTCAAAAAGGTTTTGAATCCATTCACTATCCTGTTGTCTTTCGTCAACTGGGATGGGGCCATCAGTAATGGCTTCAGGTTTGGCTCCGCAGGTTGGAATTTTCAGCTTTAAAAGCCTTACCAGCAGGTTGAGAACAGCAACTGCATGCTGTTGCAGGTGGGTTTCTGTCCCGTCCTGAGACTCCTGGGCCTCTTGGCTGTCCATCTTTTCAACAACGAATTGGGTAAGCAAACCAAGAATACGAATCAACTCTTCCAAGGGATCACCTCGACATTTTGCACCAATCTCAGCACCGAAACGGGCATCGTATTTCTCTATAGCATCTAATGCAGCATTCAAAAGGGGAAGAGCTTCGGGCACGTCGAAGGTAAATTTGTTCTCGTTTGTCTCCTTTGCGGTCCAAAAAAGTAAGAAGCAGAAAAGGCTTTTCACTGCAGCTTCGATATCTGGGCAACGAAGTTCCCATTCATCGGCTTGAAGTGTATCAGGCAACTGTAGCACTTTTGGCATATGTTTCAAGACCTGGCAAAAAATGCTGGGGTGCCAAAAGTCCGGATGCATGCCGATAAAATCATCATAAAAACTCACATGGTCTGACAAGTGCAAATAGATATACACTGCTGAAAGTACATCTGGCCCACCAGATTTCAGCGGTTCCATGCACATCAGCCACACTCCAGAAGCAATGATGTCCCTGCGGTCTCGGGAGCTCTGTGCATACCCACCCCGCACAATGCAATCCACGAACCTCGCAGCAGCTTCTGAAAACTCTTTTTGATCGGTATCATTGGTATCTTTATCGATTTTATCGTCTAAGTCTAAGCTATTTCTCTTTCCAGCTTTTGCGATCAATGGCAGTACTCCTAGAATTTGCCGTTTCAGACTGACTTTGCAGTCTGCAGACCGGTAGCCGTACGGAATGTTTTCGAGGTGCTGCGTCAAGTTCCGGAGCCTCTCTGTGATGGAAGTAATTGACTTTGGTGTGTCAGACTCTGTTTTCAGCTCCTCTAAGAGTGAATGTATTTGATCCACGGACTGCTCAATGCGAGGCTTCTTGAAATCTGTCCGCGTGTCTTCAACGGGTCTTTTGCGGCTGTCCCATGCCATCGAGGAAAACAAATGCAGCAGGGAAGCGTTTCTCACAGAATCTGCATTTTACAGGTGCAAACTTACCGACTGAGAGTGCATATTCAAACCCATATGTGTTCTTGCTTTAAGTCTGCGGCTCGTGGACAGTACAACAAGCAAATGGATGCGTCCTTTTTTGATTTCCTCCTCATTCACAAGCGTTGTGTGCATGGGAACGGCGGAGAAGCCAAAAGCTGCCAACCAACATTCAGCACTGAAAAGGTATGGCTGCACCACCCCCCAAAAAAAAAACAAGATGAAGCCCACGAACCCGAATGCTCACACGTATGTTAATGGTACAGATGTCAATACACATGGTTATGCAGTCACGCACAATACCTTTCTGCAATAGTTTATTTGAACAGTCTTGTACATGTTCCCTTGTTACCAGTCTGCAGTGTGGAATGTAAAGTGTAGAGTGGGGAGTGTAGAGTGTGTAAAGTGTAGAATGCGGAGTGTAAAGTGTGGAGTATGAGTGTGGAGTGGAAAGTGTAGAGTGCGGTGTGTAGAGTGTGGAGTGTGGAGTGTAAAGTGTAGAGTGTGGTGTGTAGAGTGTGGAGTGTGGAGTGTAAAGTGTGGAGTGTAGAGTGTGGAGTGTGGAGTGTAAAGTGTAGAGTGTGGAGTGTAAAGTGAGGAGTGCAAAGTGGAAAGCCTGGAGTGTAAAGTGGAAAGTGTGGAGTGTAGAGTGTTTAGTGTAGAGTGTAAAGTGTAGAGTGTGGAGTGTGGAGTGTAAAGTGTGGAGTGTGGAGTGTAAAGTGTGGAGTGTAAAGTGTGGAGTGAGGAGTGTAAAGTGTGGAGTGTGGAGTGTAAAGTGTGGAAAGTGTGGAGTGGAAAGTGTGGAGTGGAAAGTGTGGAGTGTGGAGTGTGGAGTGAGGAGTGTAAAGTGTGGAGTGTGGAGTGAGGAGTGTAAAGTGTGGAGTGTGAAGTGCAAAGTGTGGAGTGTGGAGTGAGGAGTGTAAAGTGTGGAGTGCGGAGTGTAAAGTGTGGAGTGTAAAGTGTGGAGCGTAAAGTGTAGTGTGTGGGGTCTGGAGTGGAAAGTGTAGAGCGTGGTGTGTAGAGTGTGGAGTGTGGAGTGTAAAGTGAGGAATGTAAAGTGTGGAGTGTGGAGTGAGGAGTGTAAAGTATAAAGTGTGGAGTGTGGAGTGTACAGTAAAGTGTGGACTGTGGAGTGCGGAGTGTGGAGTGGAAAGTGTAGAGTGTGGAGTGTGGAGTGTAAAGTGGGGAGTGTGGAGTGTAGAGTGTGGAGTGAGGAGTGTAAAGTGTAAAGTGTGGAGTGTGGAGTGTAAAGTGTAGTGTGGAGTGTGAAATGTGGAGTGGAAAGTGTAGAGTGTGGTGTGTAGAGTGTGGAGTGTGGAGTGTAAAATGTAAAGTGTGGAGTGTAGAGTGTAAAGTGTAGAGTGTGGAGTGTGGAGTGTAGAGTGTAAAGTGTAGAGTATAAAGTGTAGAGTGTGGAGTGTAGAGTGTAAAGTGACGATTGTAAAGTGTGGAGTGAGGAGTGTAAAGTGTGGAGTGTGGTGTGTAAAGTGTGGAGTGTGGAGTGGAAAGTGTGGAGTGTGAAGTGTGGAGTGTAAAGTAAGGAGTGTGTAGTGTAAAGTGTGGAGTGTAAAGTGTAGAGTGCGGAGTGTAAAGTGTAGAGTGTGGAGTGTAAAGTGTAGAGTGAGGAGTGAGGAGTAGAAAGTGTAGAGTGTAGTGTAAAGTGTGGAGTGTGGAGTGTAAAGTCTCAGGTGAGGAGTGAGGAGTGTAAAGTGCAAAGTGTAAAGTGTGGAGTGTAAAGTGTAGAGTGTGGAGTCTAAAGTGTAAATTGTGGAGTGTGGAGTGTAAAGTGTAGAGTGTGGAGTGCGGAGCTTCCCCCATAGACACGGCGACGCCACAGAAAAATGGAGTGTAAAGTAAGGAGTGTGCAGTGTAAAGTGTGGAGTGTGGAGTGTAAAGTGTAGAGTGTGGAGTCTAAGTGTAGAGTGAGGAGCGAGGAGTGGAAAGTGTAGAGTGTAGTGTAAAGTGTGGAGTGTGGAGTGTAAAGTCTCAGGTGAGGAGTGAGGAGTGTAAAGTGCAAAGTGTAAAGTGTGGAGTGTAAATTGTAGAGTGTGGAGTCTAAAGTGTAAATTGTGGAGTGTGGAGTGTAAAGTGTAGAGTGTGGAGTGCGGAGCTTCCCCCATAGACACGGCGACGCCACAGAAAAACCAGAGACTCGAGACAAGACACGTGGATGCAGAAAAACCAGCATTTCGTACGAGACTTCCTCCAATTTTGACATTTTTGACACATGATCAAACAGGTTGGAATGTCACAAAGTGCCACGCCTGCCACGCAAAACGACATGACAACTTCCTTGGAAACCTTCGAAAAGGAGAGGTTTTGCGGCTTCCCCCATAGACACAGCGAACCCACAGGAAAACCAGAGACTCGAGACGAGACGCGTGGGAGCACCAAAACGATCATTTCGCACGAGACTTCCGGCGATTTTCACAGTTGGCAACATAACAAAGGGACAAGTTTTGCAGCTTCCCCCATAGACACGGCGAGGCCACGGGAAAACCAGACACGCGAGAAGAGACAGGTGGGAGCACCAAAACGAGCATTTCGTGCGAGACCTCCTCCAATTTTCACACTTTGCAGCTTCAAAATCGACGTTTTCCTACGAGTTTTCCTTAGAACCTGAAAATTTGCAACCTGAAAATCGATGTTTCGTGCGAGGCTTCCGTCAATTTTCACCACATCGCACAAAATGCCACCCCTGCCACGGAATTCGCACCTTGTCGCCACTTGACGCAGCCCTGCCAATGCGATTTACAAAAAACGCGCAACAGGACACGTCTAAGGTGCTGCGCCTGCCAAGAAAAATGACGATGGACACGTCCAAAGTGCTGCGCCTGCCACGAAAAACTGCAACACATCTTCTGACAACGTCACAAAAGTATTGCGCCTGCCACGCAAAACGACTTTCGACACGTTCCAGAACACGTCTGAATGTCACGAAGTGCCACGCCTGCCACGCGAAACGAAGCAACAACACGTCTGAAACCTCCAAAAATGACCACCTCTGCAGAACTTCCCATAGGCACGGCCATATGGTCCTCGCGCGGACGGTTGCGAACGGTTGCGGACGGTTGCGAACGGTTGCGACCGGTTGCGACCGTGAACGCAACGTCGAGCGAACACACCCTCAACCCCCAGACCCCCAGAGTGAAACGGGAACCCTTGCTACGCATTCGGGAAAAAACAGCATTTCGTACGAAACTTCCTCCAATTTTCACGAGACAGGTGGGAACACCAAAACGAGCATTTCGTGCGAGACTTCCTGCAATTTTCACACTTTGTAGCTGCAAAATCGACGTTTTCCTACGAGTTTTCCTTAGAACCTGAAAATTTGCAACCTGAAAATCGATGTTTCGTGCGAGGCTTCCGTCAATTTTCACCACATCGCACAAAATGCCACGCCTGCCACGGAATTTGCACCTTGTCGCCACTTGACGCAGCCCTGCCAATGCAATTTGCAAAAAACACGCAGCACGACACGTCTAAGGTGCTGCTCCTGCCACGAAAAATGACGATGGACACGTCCAAAGTGATGCGCCTGCCACGAAAACTGCAACACATCTTCTGAAAACGTCACAAAAGTATTGCGCCTGCCACGCAAAACGACTTTCGACACGTTGCAGAACACGTCTGAATGTCACGAAGTGCCACGCCTGCCACGCGAAACGAAGCAACGACACGTCTGAAACCTCCAAAAATGACCACCTCTGCAGAACTTCCCATAGGCACGGCCATACGGAGTTCGTACGAACGGTTGCGGACGGTTGCGAACGGTTGCGAACGGTTGCGGACGCGGACGCAACGTCGAGCGAACACACCCTCAACCCCCAGACCCCCAGAGTGAAACGGGAACCCTTGCTACGCATTCGGGAAAAAAAAACTGACTCTGTGCCAAACCGGACAAAAATTTTAGTGTCTTACTCCGTCTCAGTCTCATATTTGCAAAATGTGTGCTTTGTTGCTGTCTAAGTTTCAGGCAGGTTTTTTCTGTTGCCATTGCAAGCTGCATGATGCACAAGTCACATGCCCACCTCTAGTGAACATGCATCAGCTTCATCAGCAGCATGAAACCATTGCTCATTCGACTCATTCATCTTCGAAATATCCATCACAACAATCATTGCTCCTATCGAACACTTTGGGTGAGCGTGTCACTGAATCTGAATAAATAAAGTAGTAAAAAATAGCAGGTCAAATCCCTTGCAAATCAGAGTATGCGCTCCCTTGGTTCGTCTGCGACAACAACGAAGCAGAACTTCTGGAACATTTGGAGCATGGCAATTTTCTAGCGGCACGAACAACAAAAAAACAAAGTGTTTCAGGATTCAGCACCCTAATGCACCCAGCAAATGGGGCACATGGATTTTGAACAATTGAAACTTTGAGACCGAGTGACATGGAGCCTGAACCACCGGAAAAACGGATGGCGAGTATGCCTCATGACCTGATCACTCCATGATGGCGTGACCACATATTGGAAGGCTTCCAGAATAGAATCTATTGAAAACGTGTGTTGAAAATGATCGGCACAAAATTTGAAATCCAATTGGAATAAGAACTTGGCAGGAGTCTGTCGCACTGACACAGACTGAGTTCTGGGGCCTCTGGGGGCCCAACATATCGGGCAGTCATGCCCGGAACCTTGCCCAACGCTCTGCTCTCGCTCTCGCTCTTTACTTGCCCGGCGCTTCACAATTCGCTGTCTTCGCGGCTTCGAAGGCTTCGATTTCGCGGTCTTTTGGCTTTTGACTCAGTTTGACTCAGGTCAATTGTGTTACATGCACGTCAACGAAATACCAACGTTGCAACGTGAAAATGTTCTGCAGCAAAGTCCAAAGGCTTCTAAGATCCTGTCGTTAATCTGTCGTTCAAGCAAATTATGCCAACTGTGTCAAGTGCAATTCTGAAGCCGGCAGGTAATGAGGTCAACCCAAAACAAATATCGACGCATTGGCCATACCAAGGATCCCAATATCTAAGTTTTAAGCCTGCACATTCCATCACCAGGCAAAGGATGAATGAGTAAAAACCGATCAGCGAGACAGTAATTTTGGCGTTTGTTCTGGTCTGACACAAACTAAAACAAACATACGGTGACATACGGTGACATACGGTGACATACGGTGACAAGTTATGACAAGTTGCCATGTTTTTTCAGCCGCCGTTTGGCCTTCTGCGTGCCACTCTCTGGGCGCCTTGGCATCTCCGCAGCCTTCACTGCGAACAGAAAGTTTGGGGCCTCAGCATGTCAAAGCCATTAGTCGACTTAGTCAAACTAGAAAGGTCCGAACTGCAAAATCGAAAAACCACGCGGATTTTGAAACACGTGATTGAATCAAAACTTCACCACAACCCGGCACGCGTATGTGGCCCTGATTTCATCACTTTTTTTCGGGTACCAACATCAATGAAACCATGTCTGGCCTTCAACATGCGGGACTACATGTGGATAATTTACGCGTGCATGGTTTTTATAAATCGGCCTTCGAAGTGACAATAGAATGTACTAATCAACGCGCAAAATCAAAACATGTTATATGAAGAAATATCTCCCAATCATTCCTGTATTTTTTTTTTGCGGCCTGAAGTTGCTTGCGTTCGGTGAGCGTCTTCGGGACAAATTTCTCGCGGCAAAAGACACTGACAAACGTGACTACTGGGGTGTTGTGGAGAAATACATATATGTTATATATATATACATACCATCCATATCCATCCATAATCTGGACCTTTGGCAACATGACGAATGTGAAACATGCTCTCCATACAAGTTCGACATCAGTGTTTTTAAAGACACATGGCTCTGCTTCTCCAAATAACTCGTGTTCAGTAGCTCACTTGTTTGTATTCATTGGGAAGCTATGCAAGTTTGACCCGACGGTCGCATAAATTGCACAATAGTTGGGTTCGTTCACGGCAGCTTGTACATTAAGTGAACCAGCCACGGGCGGATGTTTCAAAACAAAACAAAAATGAAAACAGTATACGCCTATAGGATGTCTAACAAACCCGCGCGCGTTGCGAACATCTCCGTCATCTGACATCTCTTTCTCTTTTCATCGCTGCTTGTTTGTGAGATGTCCTCCCCTCTTCTGAACTCTTCTCAACTCTTCTCAACTCTTCTCAACTCTTCTCAACTCTTCTCAACTCGTCTCAACTCGTCTCAACTCTTCTCAACTCTTCTCAACTCTTCTCATCTCTTCTCATCTCTTCTCATCTCTTCTCATCTCTTCTCATCTCTTCTCATCTCTTCTCATCTCTTCTCATCTCTTCTCATCTCTTCTCATCTCTTCTCATCTTTTCTCATATCTTCTCTCCTCTTCTCTCCTCTTCTCTGTCCTTCTCTGATCTTCTCAGCTCCCCTCAACTAAACCCTTCTCAGCTTGCCTCAACTCAGCTCTTCCCAGCTCGTCTCATGTCAGGTCTTCTCACTTCATCTCAATTCTTCTCAATTCTCAGTTAGTCTCAGCTCTTCTCGGTTTTCTCCGCGCAGCCCCCTCAGCTCTTCTCAGCTCTTCAGATCTCTTCTCACTTCCTACATCATCTCAACTCATCTCAGCTCATCCCAAATCATTTCAACTCATCTTATTAATTTGATGGGTCTCGACCTTTCAAAATTGATATCCACGGGCCTTGGCTTCTACGTAAGGGTCTAGTTAGAACCACTTCCCCCCCCTTTGGATATATGGCGAATATTATTCCCCTGTGCCCCCATCCCAACATGTTCAGACTTAAAGTCTGTCCCTCGACCTATTTCAAAAACCACATTTTTCCCCAAACAGTGTGTCCACACAGGTGCCTGATCAGGGTCTTCACTCTGGTCTGCGGCATTTTACCTGTAAATTTCCGTGTAGTGGCTCTTGTCAAATCTTGACCTGCGTTTCGAGCGCGCAGGCTCGCACAAAGTGTCTGTGTGTGTGTGTCTGCGCTTTGGGCTCAATCTGGGCCGCGCATTTTTCTTGCAAATTTCCGTATAAAGTGACTCTTGGCGAAATATCCACATGCATTTCAACTGCGCAGGCTCCCGCGAAGTGTGGGTCCCGGTCTTGGGATCGGTCTTCCTCCTCAACATCATCCTCCTCAACATCATCATCTTCCTCGCTCTCTACATCATCATCATCATCATCATCATCAACAACAACAACCTTTTCATCCGCCACTTCATATTCTGCGAAACCATCATGTCATCATAACCATCACCATCATCACCATCATCATCACCATCATCATCATCATCCTCATCATCATCACCATCATCATCATCATCATCATCATCATCTTCCTCCTTCTCTACATCATCATCCTCCACCTTACCATCCTCCACTTCATCTTCCGCTGTATCATCATCCTCATCATCATCATCACCATCATCATCATCATTATCTATCACCATCATCCACATTTTCACGCATTATCCTCCCAATCCCCCGCACTGTTTGGGGTCTCTTGCCAGAATATGTTGTTTTCAAAAGTGGTGTTCCCGGACCTGTTTGAAAAAAAACTTTTTCCCCCCTTGTCAAAATTAATTCAGTGTTCCCCAACCTTTTGTAGATTCCAGTTCCCCCCCTCGTCAATTTTTTTTGGGGGTCATGACCTTTTCATCTCCCAAGATCTCTCACACCATAATTCACGTCTCCACACGACGATCCGAAGCTGCATGTCCGATACATCGATCACAGGACATCGATCTTAGATTCTCTCAGATTTATCTTAGATACCATTTGGTTTTCCTCAAAAACACAGAATGTTATTTTTTTGCCTATAATGCCATGTTTTCTTAATTGTTTCGACACGATGATAGGTTGGAACTGTGACATTTCACAAGGGCGAATAAACCATCAGCACAAACCATTTATTTGACCACATGCTGGCTTGCGCCGTGATGCTAAATTATGAAAATCTAGCGCTTTGGGATTGGGATGTTGTTGGTCGAGACTTTTGAACCTACCTGTCGGCCAATGCAGGTTTGGATAAATTATTGTTTATTTTTTCGTCCGCGCCCACCTTCCAAACGCCTGCAAATGACTTAAAAGGTTACCCCAGGGCGTTTTTTGAGACACCCACACCCTTTCCCTTTTCAACATTGTTCAACGCATGCTTGGGTTGCTGGAGCTGAACATCTGGAATTGTGTCATTGATGTCATTGTTGAAGGAATCAAATTTCTTTCTGTGCAATGGGAAAACACTGGCATGTTTGGTCTTGAGTTTTGCCCCAGGACTAAATTTTTGACACCTATGTTTTTGACACCTGCAAACCTTTCATTTTTTCAACTCAGGTTGAGTTGCTGGGTTTGAATTTCTGGAGCTGAACGTTTTAAATTGCGTTGTTTTTTGCACCTCGGTTTTTTTGAACGCAATAGGGAACAGGAAAGCATTGCTAAAATCTAGCGAGTTTGGCATTTTCGGGAGTGGAATGTTATCAGTCGAGTCTTGAGTTTGCCTGTCTGCCGCAACGCAATGTACTGATTTGCTAGATTTTCTTTTCCTGCATGCCCACCCTCCAAACATCCGCATATGGCAAAAAGGCCAGTGACCCAGGAATTTGTTTTCGACACCTGCCGGCCTTTCCCTTGTCACCCTTGTCAACTAATCATGTTTAGATTGCTGGAGCTGAACGTTTGGATTTTTGGGCAGCGATCCAGTCTCTTTGGGCGCAATGAGAAAACACTGTTTCTTTTCAATATGTTGTGGCATGTTTGGTCTTAAGTTTACCTTTCTGCCAACGCAATGTTTTGGTTTGCTGTATTTTTTCTCTGCCTGCCCACCGTCCAAACATCGACACATGGCCAAAAGGCCGTTGCCCGAGGACTTTATTTTAGACACCTGCCAGCCTTTCCCTGTTCAACTCATGTTTGGATTGGGGTCAGCGTTTTTTGGCTCAATGGGAAAACACTGCTAAGCATGCAAAATGTGCGGCATTTTTAAGAATTCGATACTGGTGGTCGAATCTTTAATTTACCTTTCTGCCATGCACTGTATTGGTTTGCTGTATTTTTTCCCTGCGTGCCCACCCTCCAAACATTCACAAATTGAATTTAAAAATCTTTGGCCCTGGGTTGATTTTTGAAACCTGCCACGCTGTCCCTTTTCAACTCATATGTTCGGTTTTGTAAAGGCGTTACATTGAAGAGAATACGTTCGTGGCAGTATTTGCCACACACCCCCCAAAAAGAAATAACAGCAATATTCAGAAAACAAACTTTTGGGGCCGACATTTTTTTAATCCTAACTCCTTGTTCAAAATTAATTTGGTGAGTTTCAACCTTTGCAAAAGTTGTAGTCTCAACGCTTCCCCCCTTTTCAAACTTGATTTGGTGTCCCACGACCTTTTGTAAAATTCATTTTCCACCCTGTTCAAATTTAAAAAGGTGGGTCTTGATGATATGTTGATGTTTATTCCCCCCCCTCGCTAAAATCAAGCCAATTTTTTCTTGGGCCTGACCTATTTCAGATTTTCAGCACAGCTTAATTTTGGATTTTTTCCTGTCCTATGACGTTATCTTCTTCCCCCTTTCCACCGTTCAAAATCAATTTGACGAGTTTGACCTTTGCAAGGGGCTAAGAAAAACAACTTATAGAATTATTAATTTTAGGACTGGACACCTAGGAAAATAATTTGGCAACACCAAGGAGAATACGCAAGTAGAGCAACAACGCATGTAATTGTTGCACCCACGAAACCTTGATATGCCGATATACATTGACGCGTCTGTATATTTGCATACTTTTCTCATATCTCTTGATTTGCCAATCGCATTTACTATGTAATATATGTCACATAAAGTTGCGTATTGCCTGTGTCACAACTATTTAACATGAAACCCTGCCATTTTATTTTGCAAATAAGGCTTTGAAAATCACATTTGATGGTTGCCCTTGTGCATTTGGTGCAAAATCTCCTAAAGCATCGACCTTTGACCAAATTTTGTTTGCAAATCACTTGCATCCAATCGGCAGTACGTTTCCCAAGTATTGGGCCTTTGCTGATGTCGATCACCGTTGCTCAGGACAAATTGTCAACAGCTTTGGCAGATGGCGTGATGGTTAGCCCTAGGAATTGTCAATCTCAAGAGTTGGGCGGCGCAGGTGTTTTCAAGGAGCACCGGTTGCTGTAGACAGATGCAGGGGAAACCCATGATCTGCCAAAGAACGGTCCACGCTTGTCTGTTTCAAATGTGCTTTGGCGGGCGCATTTTTTTGATTTGAAAAAATATATACTGTAAACCATTCAATTTTGCGAAAGATTTTGGTTGCGAACACCCCCGTGTACATGCTGTCAAAAGATGAAGTATATGGTTCACATCATTCTTGCCCTGCCCATGAAAATTGCGTTCCGCAACAACATTCACATTTGAGCAAGCATATGGCAGCAATGTGGTTTCCGGCACAGCAGCATGTAAATTTCCGTTCACACCAAACAATGTTGAGGAAAACATCTACTGACAAAACCTCCCGACGAGGACGTCAGACCAGGACCTCAGTTAACATTTCGCAAGATCGCCCTATAGAAGCACCTTTTCGAGGATCTTACCAAAATTTCTGCCGGAGAATCTCCTGCTCAAGCATTCAACAAGAGCTTTCGTACAAGCACCTCTGATACAGGGCATCTTCACGACCTTCACGCCAAGACCTCTGACAGGACTTGAGCAGGATCTCCACCAGATCTTCTCCCTAAGATCATACAAGATCTTTGTACCAGGATCTTTCAAAAAGTTTCACAAGGTCATTGAGGTCATCACAGAAGAACCTTCCAGTCTCAAACTGAAAGATCTTTGTATAAGAACCGCCACTAAAGCTTTCATACAAGCACCTCTAATTTCAAGATCATCATGCCAAAGCCACTGACCCGCTTTCCGCAAGATCTTCTCACAATGGCCTCCACAAGCATCTCAATCCGGCTAAAAATTTACAATGAGCACCGCGCCGCAACGAAAGCGAGCCAACAGGCACAAACTGACGAGACGGTTGCGCGAACGATGTGAAAATAAGCACGCCGCCACAACGAGAGCGATCTGACACGCACAAAGTGACGAGAAGGTTGCACAAGCAAAATCAAAATGAACACGGCGCCACATGGGGACCGATCCAACCAACACACACACACACAAAATGACGAGAAGGTTGCGTGAGCGGTATCAAAATAGCACCGAGCCTCAACGAGACTCAAAAAACCGACGTCTGAAGCAACATACGCCGCAGTTCCAATACAATTCAAGATTCTCAGAATCTTTTCGCAAGAAGCACTGTGCCCGCCAAGAAAAAAACCGAGGCATCCGAAGCCTTGCAGCTGCCACACAAGATGATCTCAATCATCTCAATGTATTCAAAACATTGCCCAAGTTTGGCAAACATGACACCTCCCACAAAACAACACCTCCAGCACTTTGATATGTGATCACGAACCTTCACAGTTGCGACCTTTGGAGGCGGCGAAGAAAACTTGCATAGGACTTGGAGTCGGAGTGATTGAAGAAACTGTTGCTGAACTTCGCGCTGACCGTTCTTACACAGGACGCCTTGCACTTTTTGGCAGAAATGTGTTGGAATTTCTCGAAGGTCTCCACAATGGGATCGCCTACATGGACAAAGAATCCGGCTGGTGAGACGATGAGCAATGATGCGCACCTTCCTGCAATCCCTGGACGTATTCCATTTTTTGGTCACGAGGAGCGTTCTATAGATGCCTTCCCAAACCATGGGACGCGGAGATGATTGGAGCAATTGAGGCGAGGTGTGTCCGTGGCAATTTGGATATGCTTCACTTGGCTTTCAAGTGGCGTTAGCGAAGCGCATAGCTCCTGCTCCTCCCGTTCCTGCCTCGCCTCCGGCTAGGTCAAAAAAAATGAAGCTGGTTCTGAAATTGCGACGATGGTGGTGCTTCCGACAAGCCTTCAAAACGCCAACCTGCTTTTGAATTTTTGAGCATGAGGATGATCTCTGTTCAACTTTCTTGGTAAAAATTAAAGACTGCTATGGGCTGGACGATGAATATGATGAGTATGATGAAGACACAAACGGTTTCACGGTTGCCTCTTCGTTTTCAAATGATGGCATGTTGCAGAAACCCACGGTCCCATGCACAACTCTTGAACCAGTCCTTATTCCTCAAGATCCCTTGAAATTTGACAGGCTGGCTGACGAATCGGAAACCAAACGATTTTAAGGACATTGGACTGCTGATGCCGATCCCTGCTGAAGATTATGATTTTGGTGACAACGTGCCACAGTTTTGCTTCGACAATCGAAGTATGTTGCAAGAGAATTTGCATTGCTCTCGCCACATCGACAAAATCTCTTCAACCTAGTGTCTTCCATGCTGACGGTGAAGCTGTTGCTAACCTCTTTGATGACATGCAAATCCCTCGGATACGTTCTCTGTGCCATGACGCCCGTGTGCTTCAGAAAGAAGCTACCCAAGCTACGTGTGAGCTTGCCACAAGAAGCACAATGGAATTTGTTCTTGGACAAGCTCTCCCTGGCAAGCGTAACGGTTCTCAACTTTGGCTTGAATCCTTCAATGCCTTTCTCAAGGGTGAACTTCAAATCAACGAGTTTCCTGTTCATCCCAGCCTTTTGAAATCCAATCATTGTGAGCGCCTGCTCTTGCTGCACGTGGGCGAACTCTGTATTTGAGCAAGTGCAATTTCTTGGATGACACTCTGATGATGATGCCTGCTTTGCAGTCAATGTACAAAATTGCAAATGAAGCCATGTTCTACCCCAACTAGGGTCACATTCGCCCGTACCTCAATTACCTTTCTGCTCAATATGCCATTCAACCTTTCAAGGTGTAATCTGGGAACAATGGGCATTTAGGCGGGGCTTGGGGACATTGGTTGGGGGGGCGGGGGCCGGGGACACTTGCCTTTCTACTTACGCAGTCATTCAACCTTTCGGGGTTTAATCTGGGGACAAGGGGCAGTTAGGGGGGACTTTGGGACATTGGTGAGGATGGGACCGGCGCCACTTACATTTCACATGGATGTTACAACGTGGCATCCAAAGCGACTTAAAAGATGCTTGACACAGATGTTGCAACATAGCATCCAAAGCATCTTGGAAGTTGCTTGAAACGGTTGCTGCAACGTCGCATGCAGATTGTCTTGGAGGTTGCTTGCAATGGATGTTACAACATAGCCTCCCGAGTGTCTTAGAAGTTGATTGACATGGTTGTTGCAACGTAGCATGCAAAACGTCTTGGAAGCTAATTGAAATGGATGCTACAACACAGCATCCAGAACGTCTTGGAAGTTACTGGAAATGCATGTTACAAGGTAAAATCCAGAGCGTCTTGGAAGATGCTTGACACGGATGTTGCAACATAGCATTCAGAACGTCGTGGACATGCATATGACAACGTAGCATGCAGAACGTCGTGGAAATTACTTGAAATGGGCGTTACAACATAGCATCCAGAGCGTCTTCGAAGCTGCTTGAACTGGTTGCTGCAACGTAGCATACAAAACGTCTTGGAGGTTAAGTGACATGGATGTTACAACATAGCATCTAGAACATCTTGGAAGTTACTGGACATGGATGTTACAACGTAGCACCTGGAGCGTCTTGGAAGTTGCTCGAGATGGTTGCGGCAACGTAGCATGCAGAACGTCTTGGAAGTTGCTTGAAATGGATGTTACAACCAATTGCTTGAAGGTAGCAACCCATGGCAAAGCGGAAAACACCATTTCAAATAGAGGATATTCATTATACCAACCCCAAATTCTCAAAACAAGAGTGTGCGACAAACCATTTCTAAATAGAAGGTATTGTCTAACAACCCACGGGGACACGGGAAAAACCATTTCAAATAGAGGATATTCATTGTACCAACCCCAAATTTTCAAAACAAGATTGTGCGACAAACCATTTTTAAATGGAAGATATTGCCTAACCAATGGGGAAGCGGACAAGATCGAATAGTAGATATTCATTGTACCAACCCCAAATTCTCAAGACAAGATTGTGCGACAAACAGTTCTTAAATAGAAGATATTGTCCAACAAATAATGGGGAAGCGGAAAACACCATTTTAAATAGAGGATATTCATTATACCAACGCCCCAAATTCTCAGAACAAGAGTGTGCGACAAACCATTTCTAAATCAAAGATATTGTCCAACAACCACTGGGGAAACAGAAAAACCAATTCAAATAGAAGATATTCATTATACCAACCCAAATTCTCAAAACAAGATTGTACGACAGACAAGTTTTCAATAGAAGATATTGGGTTGGATGATCCACCAAGTTCTAGAATGTTTTTAAATAGAAGATATTAGTCTGGACCCTCCCGGGGCCACAGTTATGGAGAGCGCAAAAGAACCTCCAACATCCCGGATGTTGCACCGCTTTGTTTCATTGAATTAATTTATCTTCTATTTAAGACGGATTTGTCTGCGCGTGCAGACCAGTTTTAAATAGAAAATCGGTTCTCCGATGATTCCTGGAGATTTCTGTTTTTCTTCCTCTCACGCCTTTTTCCGCGCCGAGCTGTCTCTGGTCCCCAGCAAAATTTTTTGGGGGTCGGATGCTGACTGTTTTTATACTGGCCAGTCTCCAGCTATGCATTTTTTCTGGCTGGTCTTTTCAGTGGTCCCGAAAAATATTAAGGGATTCGCTTAAAATTTCCATGTGGTCAACTACAAGCTGTTACAACATCTCATATCAGCCCCAACACCAGAGCCAAACATGATGAGGCCCCGCGCAGCATTCGCTTTTTGCAGCTTGTTGGGGTAGAGGATGCAAACTTTCAATTCTCTAGCAAGCCACCGTGCCAGGATGAAGCACTTCAAGCGGAACAAAAATAAACCACTTGAATGCTATGCAACTTCATTGCCATGCGGAAGGCCTCTGCTGTCCTAAGCAAAATAATGTAAAAAACACACTCTGTTTTGCCAATCTGGCATCAGAAAATCATTAAATCAAGGCACTGGGGCTCATATGCTCATGCCCTGGAATGGATGAGCGCATCAACTGCTAGTGCTTGACTGCTTTGCAGCAAGAACCCGTGCTTTGCATTGTTGGATTTGGGCACCCAAGGATACATGACTAGTGGGTCAGGCAACAGCGTGCGGTTTAGGGTTCTGTAGATCGTATCCCGCTATCTTTAGAATGGACCTGGGCTATATTAGAGTCCCTCCAAGCAAATATAATGGCTAGCAAGATTTAGAAATTCCTAAGATTGGATGCTCAGATGTACTTGGGTAAGAAAATAAAAGGCAATAAGTGCATGAAAACGTCTCTAAATCTAGGTTGCTTGGATGATTAAAAAAACAACGTGCCTCTCTAATGCGCAATGTCTTTGAACATCTGCAAACCACGTCCCACCTGTTAAAATATAGCATAGGCATTGTCTACTGGCCTACTAGATTTGTTTACCGCGCCTTCCTACTTCACAGTTCCTGAGTCCCTTTATTCCAGGAGACAGCGCTATCTATTGCATTTCTGATCTGGACAACTATGTCGAAATTCATATTATCTATCCTTGAAGATGTTGCCCAAAGATAAGTGTTGGCCAAACATACTCATGTGCGTCACTGCGCCAGGAACTGCAAGAGCTGCAGGAGCCGCAGGAGCCGTGGAAGCTGCAGGAGCCGCAGAAGCTGCAGGAGCCGCCGGAGCCTAGCAAGCAAGGCTAGAGCACGCAACAGCGCCTGCACAGGGGCCAAACTCAACAACCCTTCAGTGTCTCTACCAGACCCTTCGCTATTCAATTCTGGCATCGGGGAACTACGAAAGGTGGCTGCATGCCACCGAAGTGTGGCTTTACGCTCACTTATACTAATACCTCATACAGCTTTCGAACCAAAACAAGCGCCTCAAAAAGTTCCTTTGGCATCCAAAAGTGCTGCGAAGATGGCAATGCACCTTGGGTATCAGTGTGAAACTACATTGCCTGGACTTGAAAACCCAAAAAGATTCAATGGAATACCGCTCTCAAGCTAGAACAGATTGACTGCTGAGATGTTTCAAGCGAAATCACGTGGCCACTTCTTCATATGTTGTCTACACGTCCTAAGGCCTCCTTTCAAAAATCCAGCAGAAGACACAGCAAACGGACAATCCAAAAAACATGTTCCTGAAAAGAATATCTTCTGCATGCAAATGGGCACCCTTCAAATCACTCATTTCACCTTTCAACTCGAACTCTTGACAACGAAAGGTATTCCTAGTGAAAGGAAAGGTCTCACACGCCATCTCGTGAAATGCAACGTATGTCTGCAAACCTTGTTTCACAACAGAAGCACCTTGCATCAGCCAAGGGCAGCCTTCATTTTAGGGGCGACCTCAGGGATATTCTTCCCTTTCCAATTGCTTCAGGCTGCCCAGCAACTTGAAGATTAACGAAAACCAAAGCAGTGAAACTTGCCAGCAAGGAGTGCAAATACACACACGGCAGCTGTGTGCTTCTTCAGCCAAGAAACAGCGACTGTGAAACACAATAATTCTTCAGGACAATGCACATGAAACAAAAGGTCAACACTTGGGAATTCGGCCACTTTTCCATTCGCCATTGGGCTAAGTGCCTTAAGAATGTGGATGGATGCATTTGCCAGCCTTTACCACACAAACGCGGTAGCTCAGCTTGGGGATCCTGCATCTTCGGACAGTGCTGGCTGGGCCAAGACTGCAAATGTTCACAGAACATCGTCAGCCCCAGCGCCGCACCATCGTCCGAACACCTTGCTGTAATTTCCGATCGTTAGGAAGGGCAGGAGGAATGGTATGAATGGCATCTAGAAGGCATGCTGCTCTTGCTGGCTGATGTGTTTAGCTGTGATTCCATTGGGAGCTGCATCCTGGCTGGCTCGCGCCAAACGCCCCAGGGCCTCCAAAGTCTGCAGGAAATGCGTGCCCATGAGCTTTGATGAGCTGCATTCAATCATGTCCAACCTTGCCGCATGGCAATTCTGAAAGAGGATTTTGGACAAGGGGCTAGCTTAGCTTGCACCTTGAAGCATTACGGCCCAAAACAATGGCCCAATGAAAGACGCTAATGCCAAGGAGCAAGTCTGGATCCACAAGCCATGACTTCTTGCTGTCATTCACGAACAGGACATCTAGCGTGCCATCCAGAAATTGGCCACACAAGCCCAACGCCCCTGCAAGGCGCAGCTTTCCCAGATCACGATTTGGCCGCAGTTGGCGGCCATGCTTGGAGATGACCCTGGTTGGCATGTAAGCCTTTCGCTGCCCTACACCTTGTGTGTCTCGGAAGAATTGGTGGAAAACTGCAAGCAAAGAAAGCCGCTGCTGAGAAAAGGCTTGAAACACATACTCAGCAAAGTCAGGAGATCGAAAGTATGTAGTCAGAATCACGATGCCCAACTGCTCACAACTCTCAAGCCATTGCACGCATGGCATCTTCAGGATCTTCACCAAATAGTCTGTGACCTTGTCCCTTGTCACCTCCTTAGGCAACTCGCCACGAAAGGAGTTGTGCTCTCAACAAACAAGGAAGGATCGGTGCGTCATCAGTGAATGCAAAAAGCTCCCTCTACAGCTGTCGAGAAAACTGAAGGGAGCTGATTGCATTCTGAGGGCAGGATGCTCGGTGTGCAAAATCTGCAGCATCACGCTTTCAGGCTCCCTGCCAGGGGCTTGAGTAAGATGGAAACCTGACCCTTACTTGCCAGGGGTTGCTGGTCAAGGGTATGGCCAAGGATATGCTTGGGGGCACCCTGAAAACCTTTCAACATCAAACAGCAATACGTGAATCTCGCAGGGAAGGGCCCCAACGTGTTGATGAAGGGCCTTCATCATCTACTTTCAAACACGCTGTCTGAAAAAAGATCGTGGGGTATTATTTATATATATATATATATGTATATGTATATATATGTATATATTAAATATATAATACGTATATATATATATATTTATATATATATGTACATATATATATCTAATATATATATATATGTGTATATTTGAAAAAACATACTACATGATATAAAATATTTAATTTGCATACATGATATGTATGGTTGTGCTCAATCTATGTGTGTATATTTGGCAATTTTACGGACTATATTATATTGGAACATGACTGCCACTGCGTCAACGTCTTTGCACAGCCGGAAGGTGATGTATCTCCCTCTCTAACGGTGGAATTCGACACCCGGCTCGATAAGTCATATAGGCAGCCAATGTTGCCTCAAAAGAAGAATTAAATCTTTCTGGAAAAGGGGGGTCCGATGCAATGCAAGCTAGTTGCTAGTGGCACTACAGCCGGATCCAAATCTGTGAAGAGAAATTGCACCAGCGGCAGCAAGTTGGAATCCTTTCCTTCAATGCATCTGCGGGCAGCCTCTGTTCAACATGCAGCCGCTCGCCACTCCACACGCAGTCAGAAAACAGATCACCCTCGATTTTCACACTTGCTATTGGCAGACTACGCAGGGCCAAGCAACAATCCAAGCAGTTCGCTGGACACGGCCCCATTTCTCGCTGGATTGCCTAGAGTCTGCAGCCTTCAACCAAAGCTTGAAAGCAGCAGCAAGATCTACAGGCGTGGGCGCCATGCCTGCCATGGACACATCTAAAAGTTGGATCTTTCAATGTGGGCACAGGACCTTTCAATTTCACATGTCGGGGCATCTGGAGAATCTGGAGCTTTCAATGTTGGGAAGCTTACCTTTCGATCAAAAAGAGTAGGTTTTCACCCGTCGATGCGTTGATATTAGCTTTGGTTGCAACCCGAAAGCTTCAATTCATGGTTTTTGCGAACCAGGGGCGTATTGCCAGGGGGCAACCTATGATTGGAAGCGTATTACATGGGGCAACGCCCGCTTCAATACGGGTCTGGTTTTTAAAAGCCGGGACCATAATCATAAGCAGGTTGATCTCTCAGATATAGAAACTGAAGCAAAGCAGATAGATTGTCAAGGGCAATCCCCTTTGTAATACGGGGCTGGTTTTTAAAGACCGAGGTCGTATTGCTAAGAGGAGCTTTTTTGGCTCAAGCGCAATACCCCAGAGTCAGGCTGGTGCATGACAATGCTCTTCAATGTCATCCTACCTTAAGAACATCCCTGAAACACCCCTCGAGCGTCGAAGCATGCGAATTGATCGCACTCAAGACCAGAAGTCCTGCCATGTCACTACTTTCTTCACGGTAACCTTTTTGCTGCCATGCTTGCAGCTAGTAACAACCTGGCCCACAGTGTGGAGCTGCCACCGGAAACCACGAGCTTCTGCGCATATCTTGAATGATGAAGCCACCACCGCACACCTGAAACGCAAACGCTCTAATATGAAACTTTGTAGCTGCTGTAACATGCTTTACGCTTCAATGTGTCAAAACAGATAATCTTTAAGAAGTGCTTGTGATTTTGTGAACTTTGTCCTAGCAACATCTCCAGAAACTTCCAGGGTGAAAGTGCTCGGCAGCGCTGAACCATAAAAACGATTCTGGCTTCCATTGCTTCCTGTCAGCCATCTCCACCGTAGCTTTTTCTGCAACCACCTTCCCGAGGCCATAGCAAACCAACAGGGCTGCAGCCTCAGATCGTCAAATGCCACATGCTGGAGGTTATTCATTAGCCTTGGAATGACCAAAATCTTTCCTTTGGAAAAAAGACACTGCCTCGCGCTTTTGAAGCATTCACTTGCACCAGCATTACTCGGTATGTACAAACTTCTGCCAAGCCAGCTGAACAGCTCAAACCGCGCAGCCACTGGAGCCGCTGGAGCCGGTATGAGTTGATGCAACACGTAAAAGATCGTAAAGGAATAAGACGCAAGACCCAGCTTTGAGCAGGTTCATCTACCCCAGCGAGTGCCTTGCAAAATTTTCTTCTTGAAACGGCCTTGTTTCAGCACAATCTTGGCGGTTTTCCTCTTCGGTGTCCTGAAGCCTTTCTTGCGTTTGGCAGCAACGCCGGTAGTTCGTGGCAAACAAAAACGGGCTCTGAGCGTGGCTTCTGGCAGCCCCTCCTTCACCTTCAACTTAACACCGGGGCAAATGGTAAGCCTGGTAAGCACAGGTTGTACCACAGACGAACACATGGAGGCATCACCACTGCGGTGCGCAGCTGGAAGGTTCCAATCTATCAGGAGCAACGTCATCAGTGTAGCCAATGCAACCACGGGAATGTGCATGGTATTGCTACCCATCGATGCCAAGCCTGATCCTTTGATGCTCGATGGACAGGGAATCCATGTAGCAGAAGCATCTTGTGGGGCACAACTGGGGCAAACTTGAGCAAATAGAAGAAACCGCTAGAGGTGACCCAAAACCTGGCTTTAATGTGCTCAGGATGACCAACTCCTCGTTCTTGACGGCCTTGTCAGAATCAGCAGTAACCAGCAGGCCTCCTTTCAAAAACTGTTCCCGGACAAGCTGGAAGCTGCTGTGGAAGAAAGAGTTGCGAAGCAGCAATTTGTTCCGAGCGTCCTGGGTCATGGTGTCACCTCCGTCATCTGCTTGCAGTGCAGCCAGGCTCCGGTGAGCAAAATGTGAGCCGGTGGTCAAGCCAGACTCGGACAAGAAGCACTTCACAAACTGTAGGCAATACTTGTTGGCGTCGCGGTCGAATGGCAATGCCCAACCAGCCCACTCCGGATCCTGCAAGCGCTAAACAAGCGCCCATGGATATAACAAAATGCATTGAATCAATCATTTGACATGCCGTGCTTAGAACAAAAACACCTCTTATTGACTTTCCATTCGGCCCCGAGACTGTCCGTATCCTCACACCCTTCTAACTTACTAGCAAGTCTAACGTAAGTATAAGTTTGTTTTGCTACGTTTTGCTGTTTTAGTTTCTTCCTGTTTGCGGTCATTGCCTGTATTGTGTGCTCTTCTCAATTTTGCTGTTGGCGCTTTAGCGGTGGTGATGCTCTTGTGTTTGCGTTCGTCTTTTGTATGTTTGTTTCTAGGCTCCATCCTTCCATCACAGGTACCGGTTTACTCCATCCTTCCATCACAGGTACCGGTTTAGGAATCGATTTGTGATCTACTTGTGAGCATGGCTGCCACAGTTGCTGTTTATCTTCTGGGAAGTTCTGGTCTGGATCTTCTCTTGTTGTTTCTTCTTTGTCTAGTGCTTGTGTTTGTTAATGTTGCATTCTGCTCTTAGTCTTGTCGTTATGTAATCCCCAATCATGGTTTGGCTACTAGTTGTTGTGCAAACCCTTCCGCAAGTGAGTTTTAAAACGGTACTTGTCTGAACCGGTCCTTCACGTCAGAAAGCCGGTACCCCCTGGCTTATCCGTTCGTCACACTGGGCATCATCAAAATGCTCGCCAAACAGATTCACCCTTGATCTTGGGCCTTAGCACTCACAAATTGATCCAGGATCTCGCGTTGCGCAATTTGAATGTGGAAACAGAAATTGTTATGTATGACCATGCAAACCTTCGACCTATGCTAAATTGAGACACCTTCGACCTATGCTACTTTTTGGATGGCTCAGCGCCATGGCAAATGCTTGCGTATTGAAGATGCTTGTGTGTTTGACGGCTTCGGTGTACAAGGGCTGTGGGACAAGTTGAACATGGCAGTTGGTGTTCGCGGGGTTCCTGCTAACACAGCGATTCCATGGATCATCCTGACAAGAACACAGGTTTGCATTGCTGTTTGGCCTACAGGCAAGATTCAGGTATCGCCAGGCAAGTCTTCAGTAGCTGCCATTGAAGCTGTTGAGGCCACTTTGGTCAATCATTTCAACGCAAAATGGGTTCCCGTTGATGCCTTCAAGCAGCTGCCAGACCCGGTCGTCACGTATGGAGTGCTTAGTGAGACAGCGAGGCAACAAACCAAACTTTTTGGTTAAGCGGGGCCCTGTGCCAGCTGCAATGGATGTACAGGGCTGAACCGCATGATGGCTGTTTTCTCTTTGCGTGTGACTATGCGGCAATCGCTGCGACTACTGAAAGTGCAGTATTGAAACCCATGTTAGCCATTCTTCAATCAGCGTTGTTGGATACCTTGGCAGCTCTTCATCATCGCCGGCCCCATTTGTGGGATTTGGTACTCTTGAAGTCCAGTGCACAAGATGCCAGCACGATGGCTCAACAATTGCAAAGGGTCCTGCAGCCTGACATCACTCTAGCCGTGCCTTGTGTGCGTGCCATGGCTTTATGCTTAGTGCCCATCCTGCATAAATGGCGTCAACAATTGCGAATTGCCATATCCACTTTGTCATCCCGCTTGCATCACCGAAAACCACACTTGCTCAAAGTATCAGCAGCGCTGTCAGGGCCACTGTGTCGGAACTTGCGCTCGAATGATCGCAATGGAGGTGTTGGTGTTGTGATCACAGGGTTCATGATGAACTTTGGACTATCTGGGGGAATGAATCCTAGGGGAGACAGGCTGGCGACGCAAAGATGGTGGGACGTTGCTCTGTACATGTGTGAGTTGCATGCTGACTGGGGGTTTGGTGTGGGCTGCAGGCGCCCACCTGATTTGGAGATTCACTCGGCCATTCCTGATTATCCATTTCTTGTGACAGGGCATGCTAGTCTTGATTATGGCACAGTAGTTGTGTTCTGCAAGCCTGTTATGCGAAACTGGTGCCAATGGCTTCCTCACATTTCTCATTCAGCGAGAACCGCCTGGGTACATCTTCACGAAAGAGAGGTCTGGTCATGTTTGTATGTGCCTCCACGAACCTCCGGTAGAATGGAAGAACGGCGTCAAGTGGTGGACCAATATTTCCGGGAGTGGGATTCTGCAGTTACTCAATTTGGTCCCAAAAATGGACGTGCACATTTGAAGGCATCTTTCTTTGGCTGTGGTGATTTGAACATGCATGATGACATCAGACAAGTTTTTGAATCACACCTTAGCGCTAGAGGGTTGTCCTGGTTGTCCTCCACAGAACGGCCGACTCACAACAAAGGGCGAACGCTGGATTTTTTCTGGGGAGATGCGTCGAACAATGATGCATGTCCAGTCCTACATGATGGTAAATCTTGCAGCAACACTCCGTCTAAATGCAATCATCCTGCTTGTGGTCGACTGCATGAGTTCTTTGATACACATGATTTCGACCACCATGCATGGACTTTCTTTTGCCACATCGGCCAGCCCACCAGCCATGACAATGTTTTTGTTGCAAAATTTTCAAAAGACCGTGATGCGTGGTCAGCAGCAATGAATTTGTACGGCAACGATTTCTTCCATATCTTGTGCATGGAAATTGATGCGTTGCTACATCCGTGCGGCTTCCTTCACACCTTGCGTCTCTCAGATTGCCGTGTTTTGGCTAATGCTTGTGCAATTCTTTGGGAGGTTTCTACAGCCATGATTGGGTACTGTGCTGGATTGGTCAACGTGAAGCCGCAGCTACGCACCCCAAAAGTCCCCTTTGCGGTGAAGGCAGCTTTCAATGCCATGGCGCAAGCTTCCAAATTTGTTAGTCGATGTCCTTCGGACCCATGTGCACAACAGGCTCTTATTCTTGCTCGGAAAGAGTACCGGTCTGCAGTCAAGGCCTGCAAAAAGCAAGTGGTGGCAAACAGAAACGCGGTACATGGCATTGTCGCAAGCAAAAGATCCACAGGCTGATGTGTA